CTTCAGATGAAATGCGAAGTGGATGGAAAATCGAATATGCTCTTTTTGTTTATTGCCATTGTCGTGAACACTACTGATTTTTGAGATTATGTGCCAAACCGTATGGCATTTTAGAAGGTTAATGCTTTAAATGTTAACGCTTTAAAACCGCAAAAGGGCGAGAAGATATATAAAATTTAAATTGTTATTTCGGTTGTATGAAATCTAAAGCTCAGAACTTTTTTGTACACCTAATAATAACGACAATTCGACAAAATTTATTCTGTGTTCCGACCAAAAACCCGTGAACACGAGCGATAACGGCAACTCAGTTTCTATATATGTTAGAGAGGAAGGTTCACGGGATGGAATCGTCAGATTACACCAATGCGCAATAGAATCTTAAATATTATAAACGACGATACATCGCAAAAATACAAGTCGAATCATGTAACGGCCTACGATACGGCATCCGACTCAATCAGGCACGCGACAACATCGAAATTCCAGTGCTTTCGCCCGACGATATCCGAGCTTACGCTAAATACAATTAAATTTTAGGCTAGCGCTCTTTCACACGAAAACTTAATTTTATCTATTTTTATACATAACGGCAACAAAGCTAAACATGATTATTGATTATAGACTTTGCGCGATGATGAATGCGAGAGAAAACATCAGAGAAAATCTTGGAAATCTAGTCGGAAAGAACAGCATGTCGGCTAGCCCACCGAGAAACCAAACGATAAATACAAAAAAAAATATCGCGGTCGTGAGGAAAACGTTTCCTTCGCGAAGTCTTGGTGGTCTACACTCGTGCGGTCTCTCCGATATTTGGCGAAATTTACGACTTTATAAATTCATAATTGTTCGCCTCACCAAACGACAATACCTTGCTCTCCTCGAATCCTCTCGGTATTTCTCTCGTCCTGCATCCACATCGTACTTCACGAAAAAGTGATTCCTTTGCGATCTTGCGGCGACATGGGCACGATCGTCGCCCCTTTTCTTTTTCAAAAATTAACGCCGCAACGCGATCGGCCAATAAATCTCTTGTTCGCACACGCGGCCCTAGATGATCCACATCTTCTTTGACTTCACGGGAGATTCGAAGAAGCCGTTTTTTCTATGTGACTTGGTTTGCAATTCGTGGAGATTCCTCCGTAATAAATCAGTTTCTCCGGTAAGAGGTGACTTTCTCTTCCGGCTCGATATTGCATCCCCCTTCAAATTTCCATGCCAGCCTTTTAAAATTCTGTCTCCTCGCAGTCTCGCGTAGAGTGGCGCCTCCCCCCTCTTTCGTCCCCGCATTGTAAAGGTCAGCTCCATATCTGCAAACATATTACTAAAGCAACGGCAATTCTGCATGCGAACATCGGTAATTGAACCCTCAGATCATAAAACTCAATCACACTTCGTAATAATTACACAGAGTCAATGATCCCAGCGTTTAAATGGCTGCCACAGCTTTATTTTCATAGGTATAGGGTATAAAAAAATAGGTAGTATAAAAAAAATTAGGGACATTCTTTGAACTTAATATGTATTCGCATTGATTTTTTTTGCTGAATTAATTTTAAAATAGTCAAAAAAATTCAATAAAAATCTACGTGAAAAGTGACTTTTTTCATTTAAAAAATCATAACTTTTTTATTTTTTAATATTTTTGCATAAAATTTTAGGGATAAAGTCTTCAGATGCTGAGACTTTGATAAAACAATTATTGCAGATAGCGAGCTTTCAAAAAAGATATTTATTTTGAAGCTTGATTGGGGTAATTTAAAAAAAATAATCATGCACATTGTTCAACAAAAGTATGTTTATTTTTGTGCTAAATTAATCGTATGTAATATTATTCATTAGAAACATACATTTTATAAGATAATAAAGTAATCTGACCAAAAAAGTACTGTAAGATCATAAAAATAACACTAATCTTGGCCCGCACAGTTATTGCATAGATATGCACGATGATCAATGCACATGAGGCGATCGCAACTTGCGCATTGTTCCAAAGTTTTTTCTTTTACATAGGCCATATCGATGTCTTTTCTCAAATTTTGACCGTTCATTGTTAATTTGTTCCCATTGTTAATTTGTCTATTTTTAAAATACCAGCGATAGCTAACTTCAAATCAGTACGTATAGTAGGTATCATATAGTAGGTATCATAGCGTTCTTGTAAAGTTGGAGTTACTAGATGCAAACTCAATTGTTTCAAGCAATCATGAGCAGTTACTTTAATGTTTTTTTTTCCTTGTGGCGATATATTTGCCACATTTGATAAAGTCAAACACGCGTATTTAGAAAGACACACGTATACACACACACACACACACACACACACACACACACACACACACACACACACACACACACACACACATATAGCCGGGTCACTCGGAATCGTTAGATATTTGGAATCGAGCTACAAATATAACGATCGGACCTTTGTTTCTACCGAAACAGAGATGCCATTTAATTGTTTTGAGCAATGCGAAAATTGCATCCGTATAATTGTCGGAGGATGTAAATTTAGAGAGGGTAATCAATTACTTACAGTCGTGGAATTTAATCACTAGTCGTTATTAAAATGAAATATTCAAAACGGAAGCGAAAATAATGATAGGACGAAAAATATGTTGACAATAAAAGAAACATCTCGAACAAATATGACTCGGACAATTGATTTGATAAAGAAAAGACAGACATTCGATCTCGAGATTTTGCAGAGTCAAGACGTGTCGCGAGAACATTGTAATCCGAGATTTAATAAAGAAACCGATAACGTAATACTTCGTCTCATATTGATCGATGTTCCTGCAATCACCAACCGCTATCACTAAACCTTATTATATTTACATTATAAAAAAATCTTAGCGTAAACTGTTGCTTGATCAAGCATTCCTACGAAAAAGATTCATAGAAGTCATCTGTTCGTCTTTCTGCTTACTGTATACGTGTGGTAACTTGTCAAAAGAGTTCCACCTTTTGTTTTATTATAATGTCTAATTATTTCTGGCTTGTCATTAACGATATTTGCAGAATTAGAGAAAGTAGATGCAACCAGAACTATTTTTTTTTGGCGTATGCGATAACAATGTTATATTGGATGAAGAAAAGCAAAACTTTGTATTTGGTGATTCTTTATCAGCTTTCATTTCTAGAATCTCTCTTTTGTTTTTTCTTAAGGTACCAGTATAGTCATATTGAATTCGGGTTCAAGCATTCGCTCTATTAAAGGAATACTAGTAAACCAATTATCAATAGTTATTGTCCTATTAGTTCTATAAATTGGTTTTGTCACTTCTCTAAAGAAGAATTCCGGAACCGATTCATTTTGGACTCTTACTTTTCCGAGATATGGTATAGCATTTATCATATATGACGTGTAAGCATCATTCAGAGAGATGATTTTAAGACCATATCTATCAGATTTTGATTTTATGTACATTCGAAAACTACATCTCCCTCGAAATCCTAAAAGTTGTTTATCCACAGTGCAGTAATTATGAGGCTTATAATATCGTTGACAATTGACAAACATGAAGAGATCCCAGATTTTTCTTACAGATGAAAATCATCAATATTAATCAGTATTCCTAGCTTATTATCGAGTCGCAAACATGTTGATATAAACATAAATCTAGTTTGCCCCATCACACATCTGTAAAATGTAATGTTCTCTCGACTCCATATGTGTAAGTAGTTCACATTGGATGATTTTTATGCAGAAGAGTAGAGGATTCCAATGTAGGCCAATGTATGTTTAATTCAGTGGCGTCTATAAGGTAGTGATAAGTTTCCATATTTTTACCTTCTGCCATCATCATAGCACAGACATCGTCCCTTTTGCTATTTGTATGTTGTACAATTATATTTATAATTTCATCCATGAATAATAATTCCCTATAATAAAACCCAATATAATAAAACCCAAAATTGAATAAATGTCTCAACAGTCATTAATCGATTCCGGTGTTTCAATAGGCTGAGGTACATTTTGACAGTCAGATCTTCTCTCTGGAACTTTCGTACTCCATGTGTAACCATTCTTTAGTTGAGTTACACGGCCTCGTGCGCGTGACTCCAAGAGACGTTGGTTTAACGTAACAATTTTCTAGATCACTAACGTCTTCAGAACCTGATGTCTCGTAGTCACTTCCCTCCGAGTGCTTATTCACGTGATCTTCTTCATGATCAGAAGTTTTTCCCCGAAACTAATACCTTTCTTATCTTCTTCGAGGAATGCAATACCAACGTTGCGGCTTTGTAAGTTATAGACCATCTGTATACATTCATATCTCATACTTACGCGTACTTATAAAAATTTTTTTCTCACAAAAACTAATACTTACGTTTTCTTGAAGATCTTAGAGCACTTAAATCACAGAAATAAATTTGAATTTTTTTACAGAAAAACGACGCAATGATCACACATTGGGGTCACCGTGATCCCAACAATGTGATACGTCCACTTCGTTCGATTGTCGAAAACACACTAACGCGTTTTACATCATGCCAATCGCATGGTAATGTAGTTAGAGACTATTAGTAGATGGAGTGTCAGTCGTTATTTCGAAATTTAAGTTGGTGAAAATTTAGTCCAAATTTTGGTGGGGTCACAATGATCCCCAAAGATTAATTAGGGTTAATAGAGTACGACCTGTCCTGTCTTCACGTCTTCACGGTAGCGATATCCTCTCCTAGGCTATTCGACGCTGGGAGACATCCCATCTCACATCGTCATCTCGGTAGTCGTTAATCTCGCCAAAAAATATAATAACATAAAGCCAAAATAAA